CTGGGCGGCCGTGGCACCTCTCGTGGCTGAGGTCCGTGAGGGGGAGCTGTGGGTAGCCTAAAAACCATGTCTGCCCGACCTCCCGCTCCGGGCGGCGCCTGGGGGAAGGGTATGACACGGAAAATTTGCTGGTCAGCACAGCTCTGAGCACAGCGTTCTGCAGAAAAAAGATAGCCTCAGCCCGCCGTGAAAATCACTTGCCACCTCCTCTGTGACACTGCTTAATCGAACACACAATGAGTTTCAGGGAATACGCGTTTCCTGCGATGCTATTTCAGTGTCAAAATTACCCTATCAGCAGCCTGTTTAAAATGGGGTTATGATGAAGCTCTGATCTTATTAGCTAATTGTGCTTGCTAGTCGATGGTTGTTTATTTCATGGCCAAATTACAATGGTTGGCTGATGGGCTCTGGAGCCAGAACGCTTTTAATTCCCCTTGGATTTCATTATTGCGGCTGCGAAGGAAGGAACAGAATAGCAGATGAAGCTGTTACTGCTTCATGATCCAGCTTATGCCTTGTGCCAAGATGTGCCCTTAGGCTGAGCAAGTTGGCAGGGCTCATCTGGAAGAGCAAAACCACAGCTTTTATATTTGTCTGGGAATTTTTAGTAAAAAATAAAATAAAATAATTAACCCTTTGGCTTAGGAGCAGCTGCTCTTTTTTTTCTAAAGAGTAGCCTACTTCAGTGTGAAGTGCTTATCATTTGTAACAGTTTCTACTGGGTAAACTGCACGAGCGTGCCATAGGTATATCTGCATGTATGTGACATGCTCAGTACCACTTGCCTGCTGTGTTACCACAAGATGCCGTGTGTTCTGGCCTGCAGCGGTGCATCATTTCTTACCCAACCTTCTTAACAGTTTTTCTATCAGAACAGGCTGCAAGGACAGCTTTGTCCTCTTGCAAAACTAAGACGCTCGAGGGAGGGTCTCTCCAGAAGCCCATCTGCTGCAAATCCAATGATCCCCAGACTGCAGGGGCTCATCTGCCTTCAGTTTTTCCAGACACCTCCATGCAAATACTTAATTCTAGACAAAGACGACCTAATTCTTTCAAATTGCCAGCAGCAGCAGTTGTGTTCTCCCGGGGTAGCTTTGCAGGGTAGCACAAACACCCACCCTGCAAAGAAACGCTCTGCTGCCATCTCTCCAGTAAGTGAAGCTGGGGCACTGCTCTTGAATCCCCTCTGAGCTTTCCTGTGGCCCACTTCTGAGGAGCATCTCTGTACTCTGACATCTCGTTTTCTGCTTACTGCCTTTTCCATCTTTATTGGCTTTTCCATTGCCTTTTCCCTACTTACTGCCTTTCCAATCTGATCCTTCCAAAAGTGTTAGCCAGAAAACATCTGCAGGAGCTCAGCAGGGGAGGGCACAGCTACAAGGTGCAAACACACGGCGCTCTGCAGCCACTGCTGGGACCTACCCCAGTTGATGTCTTCCCTCTGGCTTGGCAGGTCATCAGTCTGTTCCCTCCTTCCTACTTTCTCCACCATGTCACGGCTGAGGCCCTTGTGGAGCCCAAGCACAGTTTGTGGCCACTTATCAAGTGTTCAGCTTGCTTTGAACAACAGTTTCCTCACCCCCGCAGGGCTCAGAAACTTGATGGGCACTTTTCACTTGTCTTGTTATGTGCTATTCTTAAAGTAAATCCAAATTATGATCACAGGAAGGTTGGTGACCCTGGCCTGTAAGCACAATGATGTGAACACAAACGTCAGGTTTGTGTATAGTTCTCCTACATCCTTCATTCAAGCTTTGCTTCCTTATTATTTCTTTCTCAAGCTTAAAAGCTTTTCAAGCTGTGCATCTCCTGGGAAATTCAGACGTACACACTCTTGTGCTAGGTTTTTTGGGTAGTAAATTCTATTTTGATAAAGCTCTCAAGCTTCCTCTTCATTATAGGGAGCATAAACCTCAGATGTTCTTGTGGCAGGCTGGTATTCAGTGAGGATGCAACATACACCCTTCTGAGGTTTCTTGTCCTCCTATTGTCTCACAATGAATGAATGCAACACCAGACAGCTTTCAAAAGCATGCCATGGTGCTTCTTGCCTGGAGGCAGCAGGACTTCTGTGCTCACAGGAACAAGGTAGTTCTCTGCAGTCCTCCTACCAGGCTTCATGAAACAGGCAGCAAACTCATGCTTTGAAATCCCTTTACTGTCTCCAGCAATGTTCCAGCGTTAGGTGTTCAAGTTTAGGTTTGCTGTTGACATTAGAGGTGGTGCAATTTGGGGAGGTTTGGAAGGGACCCAGCAGTGCCTTCCAACACATGAATTTTTCTTCTAGCAGGCTCTTTCAGTAGTGTTTCTGGCCTAGGATTTGAGACATCTTGTTTCAGTCCGGTTCTGTGACAGAGTGCTTGGTGTGTGGTTTGCTTTCAGTTATCAGAGGCTTGAAAAACAAAGTAAAACCCTGGGTTATCTCAAGATATTCTTTGGAGCCCTCCCCCCCCGGCTTCCTCCCTGGGATTGACATTACTACCATTCTTGCCGCTCCACCCTTCTTTGGGTGAAAAGTCAGGGCAATGAACCTCAACACAGAAAAACAGGGGATACAGAATCACATCCTGTTTCTGGAACCAGAATTTCCGGAAACAAATCAGAAGAGGACTTGTGGTGAGAGGACATCAGGATGATCTAATGTATCTAATGAGCTACCAAGGCCCACAAAAGGACTGGAGAGGGTTTGCTAGTGGAGAATTGAGTGTCTAGATATTTAAGCATCAGAAGAGGGATGAGTCTCAGCTGTCCATGTCTGTATCATTTCCCTGATCTGTCATCATCTGCTGGTCACCCTCCTGCAGAGCTGCAGGTCCCCAAAATTCCCCCTTCAGGAGCATGTTCAAGCTTTGCAGCTTTCACCAAATTCACTGCCACTGCCCGTTGCAGCTGCAGAGAGGTGTTTTCAGATGCCGGCTTCCCCCACAGCCTTACCTGCCCCTATTTCCTGCAGTGCCCGAGGCCTTACCGATCCTTCAGGAGCTCCCCTCCACCGCAGCATCCCGGTCTGTGGGGGAAGGCAAGTGAAGAGCCCCAGGCTACAGAGGAGCTCTGGGATGGGGCAGCCGGGTGTTGGCCCCAGGCGGGTCTCCACATCTTCGAGCTGTGCCTCCCTCACCTCCCAGGTAAGCCCCTGGAGCAAAGACAGTGGGATGTGACAGGTCCCACAACCAGGAGAGGTGGCCAGACCACCCTGCTCTGTCTGACATTGCCCATGCCAACTGAATGTTTTTTGCCCAAGATTTGTATTTTTGTATTCCTCCAGGACTTAATATTTAAAACTAGAATACAGCTAAGAGCTGTCAGAAAAGTAATTAAAATCAAGGGACATCTTATCAATGTTTCTGGGACTGTGGGACTCTCACTATTTTTTTTTTTATTTTTTTTTTTGGCAGGGCACAAGGTTCAGGTCTGTGATTTCTTCTTCAAAGCACTGCAGTGTGAAATACCTGCTCACCCATTTATTTGTCTCCCACTCCATTACTGTCAGCTGAGGCAGCTAGATAAAACAATTCAGTAGCTTCTGTCATAGGCCTTATTTCTAGCCTTGACTGCTTTAGCGAGGGTCTCAGAAAATCTGCCCTGGCGCTGGATTTTCTTCCACTTTATTTTTAGTGTATCCAAGGCAAACAAGGACTGAGCAGTAGCTGGAAAGTATGGCAGTAGATGTCAGAAAAAGACAAACGGCTTTTTTTCAGTGCTCTGTGCACAGTAGTGCAAGCTCCATCCATTCCACACATTCATAATTTAAATAGCAATTAGAAATTCTAAATAATCTCTCCCTGGGCACTAGCTAATCTTCATTAAACATCTAAATACCAGTGACTAAAACTGGGTCAGCTCCTCAGTGGCCCCCAGTGGGAGGAAGGAGCCGTGCCAGCCTTCAGCAGCACAGGATCTAGCCTCGGTGGCTCGGGGAGGGTGTGCTGGGTGCTGAGGTCCCCATCCTCTGCCTGAGGTAGGAGAGCTCCTTCGGCAGTGCTGTCCTGCAAGCAGGGAGACGGGTCCTTCGGCTGCGGTGGGGCAGCAGTGATCTGAAGCCAGCCTTCAGAGGCTGCAGTGTCTGGGCAGCAGGAACCGCTGTGTGGCCAAAGGACAAATCCTGCTTTTGCAGCTCCAGTCCTCTCTGTCTCCAGGTCCCCACTCTCCTGCCCACTAATAGCTTCCTGGCTTTTCTTACCCACTCCACCCCGGTGCCCTCAGGTCGTCCTTCCACTTCGAAGTCCCGTGTCCCATTCTGTTTTCCCTGCACGTGCTTCACAGGGGCTTCAGCCCCAGGTTCAGAAGTGGCAGTGGTTCCCAGAGAAAGTGAACCATCTTACACAAACGCAGTGCTGAAGCAAGCAAGAAAACATTGTTCAGCTTGGCTTACTAGTGCCCCAAAAAACTGGCAGTAAAGAAAGCAGAAATTTGCTGTGCCCATGGGAGGGAGAGGAGAAGGGTAGGAACCTCTGCTATCGCACGTGTCTCTGCTAGTAAGATTATACCTGTTACCAACTGCTTCTATTCCCCATCCATCTTCAGCTATCCAGGCTTTTTAGAACACACCTGCAGAACGGGGACCCTGCTTTGGGGGCGAGGAGCATGTACAGGAACTCCCAGAGCAAGGAGGTGGCCCCACTAGAGGTGCTGCACCGGCATGTACAGTTTGCATAGCTCTCATAACACTTAACGAGATTTCCTTCATCCCTCCCTACCCTGCATTTCCCCCCTAAGCTGTCCATATAAGGGACTGCCTTTGCCCTGCAGAACCCCATCACCCCAACCAGCTCAACAAAGCATTAGTGTCACACCACTTGCCTTGGCACCAGGTCAGTGAGAGGGCCCAGAAGCCATGCCCAGCACTACTGCAGCCACTCAGTTAAGTGCAGGCACAGAGACGAGCAAAGCTTGAGCAAGGATCTGGATGGACTCTGCACGCTTCCAGGGCTGTGAGATAGTATTCCTAAGAGGAAAAGCAGAACATAGCACCCCACAGGGAAGACACAGAAACATCCTTCTTACTTAAAAAGAAAACCTTTATTTCGATACATTAAAAAATCTATACATTTCTTAGACTAAAATACAGTTTTGCATCAGTATTCTGGCACAATGTCAGTTTACACAGAAAATCTAAGATTAGATCAGCACTGTTAATTTCCCTTCTCTTCCTGCATTCACAGCTTGCAGTATAAAACATTTCAAGTTCTCAGACAACAATAAACAGTGTCACATTTACTTTTCCCATTCCCAAAGGAGGTGGCATTCCACTGGAAAAAGGAGCACTTGTCAGTTGATCTTGATTCAATGTAAATCACTAAACCAGTTCAGGGGTTTGACTGCCCTGTTAGAAGTATGAGTGAAAGAGGATGAAAAATTTGTTTCCAGATGAAGCTTTGATGGACTATGACAATGTAAGTACTGTCAAGCCTTTAAAATCTGTTCAGAAGATTCTCCTTTTTCCTTAAGGTAGTTGCTATAATCAGCAACGTAATTCACTATATAGAACTAATTCCTTTCTATACGTGTAGGATTTCACCTTCTTTCTTGCTCTGGAGAGCTCCAGAGCAAAATAAAAGCAGGGCAGAGGGGATGTGGCTGTGAGATGTCTGTGAATCGGAATGTTCATTTTTTTAACTACTGTGAAGATCCTGTGGAATATTTTCTACCTGTGAAATCCTGCTCTCCATGGCTCCACCTAACCTCTGGCAGCTGCTTTCTGGCCTACATTGGAAACAAAGACACCTTTCTGTTTTCTCCTGCCTCTGCCCTAGGAGACACTGCCTCAATGACGGCAGCACCGGTTTTCTAATAAGAGATACTCTCCCTTTTCAATGTGAGCAGGGAATGACCCAACCAATACTAACACTGGAGCACATGCAGTACTTATTTGAGAGTTAAAAACCATGACACTGTGGGAACTCCATACAGTCAGTGCCCAACTTCTGCTGGGTTTCAGGAGGACTCAGCTTCCTGATCTCACAAAACCTCTCTGACATCCTCCCTGGCTGCCCCTGTTTCACTCAAGCCAAAAGGGAGCGGCGGTGCACTTGAGGAATGGCAGCCAGCTATGCTGCCAGCAACTTCCATCACAGATTTAGAGAGGCCAGAGCTGTCTTTAAAGTTACTGAAATTAGGCTAGTTCTGCTAAAGTCACCTCTCAAACCTTGCAGCTTTGGTTCTAAGGGGAGTCCCACGTTTCCACAGAAAAGTACCAAACACTTAAAACACCAAATTCTGCTCGTGATATTCACACAACCCTTGACCACTTCAGTGAGCAGGGGAGCAGAATCTGATGGTGTCTGCTGGTTTTCTGCTAGTTCTGTTTTAACTGATCTCTGTCAAATGAATGCCAGGTAGTTTAGCCTCCAAATGGATATTTTTAGATGAATTCATGCTACCTATTTTCCCTATAAATATTTTCATAATCCTAATGTCTCTGAAGAGCTTTGGCTTGATTGCATCAGCTTGCAGAACACTGCAAGACACATCACAGCTCCATCCCAGACCAGAAATTCTGCCTTTTATACATGACCCACATCACAAGAGACAAGTTTTCATCTCTTCTCTCATCTCTCTAAATATAAAAGAAAAAAAATACCTCGAGAACAGTATTTGCTACAGAACACAAGAAATACTAATTTACTAGTCTCCATAGTCTCTTGTTATGTGATGAAATAACAGCAGAGATGAAATAGTTGAAAGAGTATTCAAAAATGAAGTATAATTTAGAGTAAACTTCCATCATCCCAACAAACAAGCCGAGTGCAAGAAAGCTTCAAATAAGTTTGTTGGGTTCTGTTTTGGGAAACACGAGGGTTTTTTTCCACAAAGATGAAATACGATTTCTGTGGTGATGTGACACAAAAACCGTTCAAGAAACGATGGAGTTGTGATGCTTAGGTTTAGTAAACATTATCTGCACAGGCAAAGCCATGATTTAAAAAACAAGGATGCTCTTAGGTATCTACTTTTAAATCTTAAAGAGTTTTTCTTAAAATGACAGTGCCATGTTAAATACAGCATGTAATATGCACTCAAATGATCACTGGATGGTGATGATGAGTATATGTCTGCTACATGCATTTTATTCTGACTCTATAACATACATTCATAGAATACATCATAACCACTCAGAGCAAACCACTAAAGTGCATGCCCTGAGGGCACATTAAATATGTTGTCTCCAACACTGGCTGCTCAATTGCCAGAACACTGATACAGAAAGGGCTCATTTCTGCTTTATATCCCCATTTTGTGCTGAAAGAGTAAGAGCTAGCATCCCCTGCTCCCTCCATGAAAGGGAGCACTGTGGAGCAGACTAATTGCCTGCTGCTGAAAAAGCCCTTTCAGAAAGAAGTAACCACCCTGAGAAGGTGCTGTACAGAAACGCAGGGAGAGAGTCTTGGATCAACTCTTGGGTAAGCGGACCTGTGTACTGGGTTAGGCTGGGATGGGGTTAATTTTCTTCACAGCAGCCCGTATGGCGCCGTTTTTTCAGATTTGTGACCAAATCTGTTGGTAACAGAACCGTGTTGTACCTGTTGCTGCGCAGTGCTGACACCGGGTCAGGGCCTCTCGCTCTGCCGCCCCGGCGGGGCAGGCTGGGGTTGGGCAAGAAGGGGGGAGGGCAGGCAGCCAGGACAGCTGACCTGAACGGACTGAAGAGATACTCCATACCATATAACGTCTTGCTTAGCAATAAAATTGGAAGTGGGGAGGGAGGAAGGAGGGTGAAGTTTTCCAGAGCAGCCATTGCTCAGAGACTGGCTGGGCACTGGCCTGCTGGTGGAAGGTGGTGGGTGATTGCCTTTGCATCACTTGGGTTTCTTTTTTCCCCCTCCCTTTACTTAATGAACTAATGTGTCTTCATCTCGACATGTAAGTTTTCTTGCTTTTGCTTTTCCAGTGCTTTCTTGTGTCCTGCTGGGGAATGTGAGCAAGCAACAGAGTAGGGGGCTCACCTGCCAGTCAGGGTCAACCCACCACAACCTGAAACTGGGTCTTGCCCTTTAAGTTCTCCCTTCTAGGATAAAGTCCTTGGGCTACCATGCCAAGCTAAGGCCACACGTAAAACCCAGTCCTGGTTTTGGCAGCTGGGAGCGTGAACACAAGCTACTGGAAGGCTGAAGATGCAATTCTAAGCTTGCCATACCATGTAATTACTCTAGCTGTGGAGCAGCACTGAAACCGTAGAAGTGATGGGCTACACTTCTAACCACAGCAAGCACAGTGATGGAGTGGTATCATACAAAAAAACCCACCTCAGAACTTCAGCTCAGCACCTACTCACCCTCCCATTCAGTCCGGGTGATATCCTGAATCATTGCCTCAGGAAAGTGAGAAGGCATGTGCTAAGATCGGTGGGACAAAGGGGAGCTGACACTCTGCCACTTGGCACTCCTTTGCTGAAAGAGCAATACAGAAATGAGAGCTAAAAGAACCAAAAAAAATCTCTAGGGCTGGAAGACGCAAAAAAAGATGTCACACTGCTGTTCAGCTTCCAAACGGAACAGAGAATAAAATGATGTAGAAAAGATTTAAACAAATGAAAATACAGCATGCTTTTTTTTTCTTTTGAAACCTAGCTGATCAAAGACTGTGATGCAGACCATCTGCAGAAACCAAATGCTGGGAACCAGCGATCCCACTGGCTTGGTTTTTAAACCCCAAGTGTCCAGCCTGAATCTCCACTCCTCCAGCACTGCTTGGTTCAGTGGACTTTCCATTAGGTTGATTTCTCTATCTTAGCTGTCTCACCTGCTCCTCCTGCAGTGTTATTCCCAGTGGAGCACCACTCTCTGGTTAGTCTAGACTGCCTCCCACAAAGCAGTCCATATACTGGCTTTAATAGCCAGCTGGAAAAAAAAATAATCCATCACAACTGGTAGATCCCAGCACCTCTACTGCCAACTGGGGATTTACATGTCAAGTGTTCCCTTACTCTACTATCCCCGCTCGGGAAAAAAAAGCAGAGTCTAAATTTCTCCCGAAAAGTTCATCTCTTCAGGTGTCAGCCTTCTGCTTATCTCCTTGCACAAGACAGAGCTGGAAGAGGGCAGGTTGTAGTCTGGTGGCAAACAAACTTCAAACGACATTCAAAATAGCCACTGGAAAGCCTGCAGGTGGACGGAATGCCTCTTTGGCATGACTGAAAAGCTCTGCATGCCGGATATAGACGCAAGAATGCTGCACACAGTTTTATTAAGAATTTTATAATGATATAGATTTGTCACTTAAACATTACAACTACCCATAGAAAAGTGTCGCCTGTATCTTTTAAACACCATGTAAATAAAACAAATTTCTTTTTAGAACAGGATATACTGCTATAAAAATGGTGCACAGTCAAGTCATACAAAAATACAAAATTTGTTTCCAATTGCAGCCCTAGTTGCAATTGCAAAGAAAAGCCCCCACCCAGGACTTCCAGTGAGCAGAGAACACGAACTTGCTGGACTGGTCATGGCAGAAATTTGTTGTCAAAATGTGAATCCACAGCTTCAATCAAAGCACCTTCAATAACTTCCAAATAAGATGGAAATTAATTTCTCTGGAAGCAACTGCGTATGTGGTAAATCTCTTAGCCTTGGAATCCGGTTTCTAGCATTCATCTGAGCCAGTGTTTAAATTTCTGTTGCTAAGACCCACTGATCTACACAAATACTGGTGTTCAGCGCTACTGCTGTCTTAGCCACTGGTAGAGCAGGAATGCCTCTTCTCCACAAAACCTAAGGCTGCTCCAGATCTTGTCCTAGATAGTCTGACCTCTAACTTGCACTAGGAGGCCTCGCCAGTGCTCCATTTTAAACCCCTAGGTTGAAGCTCTAGTGCATTTAGCGCTTACACTCTAAGATGTGTAACTTATAATTCCCCCAGAGAGCCCTTCTGATCTTAGTGGAGACACTGATACGGTTCCCTTAAGTGAGCATCTAAGTGCTTGCAGGACTGGATAGTCCTGTCTCCCTGCCACCCCAGCAGCTATAATTTCTAAACGTATTTTTATTTTCTTATATTTCATGCTGTTTGGGTTCTGTGATATGAGAAGAGTAAATCCTTTTAATTGGCTTCCAAAAGAAAACTAAACAAATTTATCAAATGACTTCTAGAAGCAAAAGTGAAGTATTTCACTATTGCCAAAAGGTAAGAGCACTGGTTAGCTACATGATACTACTTTTTTTTTAAAAAAAAACCAACAACTTTCAACAGCAATTTAAAAGCCCGATCCTCTGAAAGGAAGCACAGAGAACTGCTTACTTATTAAGCCTTGGTAACACGAGTTGTGCATGTCTCTACCTAGACATACCTCTCCACTCCATCGCAAAGCTTCTGTAGAAGGACTTCTCTCTTTCAAAACATTTTCTTGAATGGAGTGATCGAACAATTGAGGCATTATTTATTTGTACAGAGCTTATATTTAGTGCAATAAGTTTAAAAATTCTGCTCTGAAATATTAACTTTACATTAACAAAAATAGTTTTCTTAAAAAAATTGTAACAAAAGGAGTATATAGCATAGACAGATCATGAATTCTTAGCAAATACACTTTTAAGCATTTACCATTACAATATGCTGAAGAATTGAATATTAGTATTCATATCTAGTGAACTTCCAGACTGAAAAGAAATGTAAATATCTAAGAACAACGATAAAAACACACGTTCTTTTGCTGTTATTTGATAACTTTAGATAACTATCCTGGCAGTTACACTTCCAAAGAAATGTTTCTCTGCCCTTTCCTGCTTTAGCCACCCACTACAGTACATACAAATATGGATGAAACAACAAGCAAGGAATGGTCCCTTTCACCTCCCAAAGCTCTCCAGCATTAAATGAAATGAAGCATACAGTACTTTTTTTGTACACCAGTACAGTTCATTTCTCTTCCCATCCTCAGCATCGTTACATCTAGTCATGAATTAATCATGAGTATGGCTAAGACTGAGCTTTAACAATCTGTTATTTCAATTGCTCAGATGGAGAATCCATACCCTTCGAAGGAGCACTGCTGAAGTGTGAAGGAGGCTACTGAACTCAAGGGGAGGATAGCGGGCAATGGGTAAGAGGGGTAAGTGGGGTAAAACAGGAAGCTAATTGCATATAAAAATTATCTGTCCCCATTTTCTAGTCTCTGTTTAATAGGAGATGCAAGGGCTCCCACACACCTGAATACCTGAGGAGTTGGTTATTGTGATATCTGATACTGATAAACAAAACTGTGCCCCACCAGGGCTGTAAAGTAAAATGACTGCTTCATTCAAACTGAATAAATTCTCACTGAAACCACCTTTTGAAAAATTAAATTTGAGACTTCTCTTGATTTGAAGGTTTTCCTAACATGTAGCTGTCCTGAATTTAATGCAAATTTAAACAAACTAAACAAGTAAAACTCTCAGCAGATTAGCAGTGTCATGGGAAATCTGTCTCTAAACCCAGTCATCATGTCAAATTATCTTTACAATGATACCTCCTCCAGATTGTAAAGTATCAAGCAGGTAAGAATCAACTTTTCCATGACCACAATGAATAATTAAAAAAATGGAACAATGATAAAGCTGCTTGTAAAAGCCACCCGTATGAAAAGAGTACATGTTTCACAAAAATAATTGTTAAAAAAAGTATTAAATCCCTGTTCCTTTTCTCTGATTTTGGCTGTTTATTTATATATATATATATATGTATGTATATATGTATATATATACTGTTTTGGAATGTCAATGGGTTCCAATATGGCTGGCTAGTTTCAAGATGAACTTGCTCCAGAGGCCTAGAAAACAAAGTCATACAGTACAGTCTTAGACAAATGCCAAAAGACAAGGAGAAACTGAGTCAAAGGGGTCACTGGAAACCATACAGAAAGAAGTGTGAAAAGGTGTTGGTGTTTGGGTTTTTTTGTGCCTTGATACAAGAACAGGTGGTGCTAAATGTTTCCTCATCTCTGCTATTAATACCTATTTAAAATACAACTGACTTAGGGCATTTAGCTTCTAGAACTAATCGTCATGTCTAAGAAATATCTGCATTTCAAGGAGACTGAAACAAAACAGCAAAGACTCAATTTTTTAAAAAAAGAAAGGAAAAAAAGAAGAAAAAAAGAATCTAATTTTCAAATACCTAATTTTAGGACTACAGGAGGTTCTGCTACAGAATAGACTTATGAATGATCTTATTCCAGATGTAACTGAGGCCTTTATGACTGCTTTGGGGAAAGGTACCAGCAATTTCACAGTGCTAACTGCTGTATCCCGTCCTTGTCAGGAAGTGAGATCCTAGTGTTTCAGAACCTATTCCACAGGAGCTGAACGCCCCCAAACAAAAGTCCACTTGAGAAAACAAGGCCCAGTCAGTTCCAAACAAGACCATCACATGAGCAGCAGAACTGGGAGTAATTCAGCAGGTGACACTCAGGCTGACCATCAAATGCTCCGCACCTTCTCCAGCAGCCCTAAGAGGGCTTTCAGACAGTGCTAGGCTCGAGTACCTACAGTCAAGTTCTGAAAAGAACAAGACCACCCTTGACTTGCAAGTACTTGGTTTGCCCTTTTACAAGGGGGAATGAATAAAGGTTTTAACATCCAAGCTGTAGGCAGTCAAGTACAAAAGTCTGAGTAGCCGTCTGTGCTAGCACTGATGAGAGCATAAGTGGAAAACCACTTAAGGTAAACCTGCTGTTTGAATTAGAGATTAACATAACACATTTTCTGACTGAGATTTTTTTAGTGCATGTGACTAGAGGTTTTCCAAACCAAATTCTCAATCATTTTAAAGGCAGCTTTACATTTGCAGTGTTTAGACCGCTCTGAAAATCCCAACATTAGTGTTTGTTTGAACAGCTAGAATTACTCCCAGAAGAAAACAGTAAATGAGCATAGAATTAGTTTTTTAGATGTATAAAACACAGCAGCATTTAGGCAAAAGCAGATCTAGAAACACACAAAGCTACACATCCATCCATTCTACAGCAGGAACCCATTCCAGCGAGGTCAAAAAGTGCTCATGCAACATGGCTTCACATACATCATTTAAAAAAAAAATAATTCTACTGTTAGCATACACTTATTTAGGTTCCATTATGTTAAAAAATTGTCCCCATGGTAAGGAACTGCGTCAGGCCCCAAATACTCTTGAGAAAGTAATGACGGAAAAATATCTATTTCACAAAGTCATATTGCACGATGACAAGTCATACCTTGCCGAGCCTGGGTCTCCATCATACGCTCTCAGTTCTCCACCTTCCAAACTCATCCTCCTATCTGTTATTTGTACCATGTATAGCTGTTCCTTATTCCAGGCTACTCAGACATGCAATGCCTTCCTAACAGGCACACCATAAGTAAAACAGGCTGCAGAAGCATAAATGATGCATTGTTCACTGTCTGTATATCTGACAGTGTGAGATGGAAAGAGCACACAAGAGACAAGCAACATAAGTAGTTGGCAATAAAAACAAACAACTGGGAAAAATGTCATTTGAGCAGGTTGAAAGGAATCACTGTATCCAATTCCTTGGCACCATATAAAATAATTTGGTGAGAGCTTTAAATGCCTGGTCCTACTTTGCAACAATGGATGCGCTCAGTAGTGTTCTTCAGGCTTTTATGGTGAACATAAGATGAACAAAAATTGTTCAGTTCAGGACTGAAAACAGGATTAAGTCAGAATAGCCCAATGAATTCCAGAGTCATCTTATTTTGGGAGTACTCAGCAGTTGGGGCTGTCTGTGTATACCACATAGCATGCGTACTAATCCTAATGAAATGATACTGCATTTGTTTCATATCAGTTCCTTTCATCTTACTTTTACAGGAGATGGTCTCAGCTGTGACAAAAACTCTGCCATCCAGGTGATAGGCAAGCTCACAAACAGAAAAAGCAGAACATCTTGAGTGATACAGAGAACAAAAACTTCTCCTGAAGAAGTGCAGTCAGTAAAGACAAAGAGGGAGAAGAAGTAAAAGTGAAACTCTTGGAGGACCGCCACCTCCTCATCTGCACCTACCATTGGTTTTAGCTCTCTGCTCTCAGCTCCACCTCCCCGGCCAGCTTCTTTCATAGATTTCCTACTATTCTCCACAAACTCCTGAAAAATAGTAATAAAGCGAAGAGTGCTTTCTTAGAGAAGACTCCAGACATTGAATTTCCGTACAAAATGTTAAGATGTAACTGCTCAACAAAACTTGCTTCTCCCACTGTTCCAGGTCAGACTTGTCCACAAAGTACCAAAAGACCTGCCAAACAGGCATGAGGGTTTCCCTCATTTATTTCTGGAAGACAGACATGTATTTGCTTGTGTAATGTTACAACTTTCACATTTACCACACAACGCTCTCCTTTTACAGGGAAGGAAGGTAGGAGGATGGCTGTCAAAAAAACCCAGGGATTCTAGCTATTCCATCCTGTCCTGCGTACTGCGTGTAACATTAGGACTCCATCAAACAGAGGCACTTGGAGATAATTACTTGCAAGGTCTTGTTGATTTCCCTAACCTCCCTCAATTCTTGTCACTGGATAAGAATCACCTACTCAAAGACCGGAAAAGGTACTAATTCAATTTTATGTGATTTTTTTCTCTTGAAGGACAGCCTTCTGTAGTAAATTCCAATAAACTATAGCCGCTAGTGTTTTCTGATATTGACTGTTCACTGAAGAAACCCAAATGCTTTTACGATTCATCTGTGCTGTCTTCTGAGACAGCATGCTGCATTTTACTCTTATTCTGCGCTAAAAAGCAACGCATCAGCTACTGTTTTATTTATTATATACTCTAGATTCTGTAGTGTTTTACTGAAAACTTAACTTTAAAATCTTGACGTATTTTTCCAACAAGTAATCAGAAAAAAAAAATATGCTAAGAAGTCATGAGAGTCTTCTTCTAGCCTACAAATAGGGGTATATTTTACAGGGATATATTCTGTGGTTCCCATTTAAAAATACTATCAAGAAAATTACCTACTCCTCTTAAGGAGCAGAACTTTTACATCTTGATCTCTAGCTAGAGAGAACAGGGAGTATGATGGCACAAGCAAGTAAGAACTGAATTATGCAAAGGGCCTTGATCTAGGCTCCAGGACAGAACATAACTTCTGTTTTCTGTGCATGACAGGCTGAGAAGCAAATGCTGGCTCCTATGTATCTGAAAGAAGAGAGTGACCACACTGGAATTTTCCTCTGTGTGAGGTAGAATACTGTGATATTTTTTTCTCTTCCATGTCCCAAGAGAGGTCCTTTTTAGAAAAGTACAAAAACCAAGTCTTTAACACCTGTTTTGCTTCTCTCCATTCTGTAGTGTATCATTTAGGAGAAAGGATACCCAAAGATATGACTCTGCAAGACAACTGGTCATCTCACATCCAGCATATAGAAGCCAATACCAGTGATGTCAAGGGAGGGAAGAATCATGACTTATCTGATGCTCATTAGACCACACTCTTTGCTGATCAAGCCAAGAACAACACAGCAACGTAACCCAGGTAAAAAAAAAAATACAGTATTAAACTCAGCTACTGAGTTTACCCCATTCTCAAATTACTTATCTTAGAAACCACATCCTTAGCCTTAGAGAGCAAGGGGAAACTTACCATGAGAACTTTATCCATGTAGAATTCCCTCCCAGGGCTCCCATCATTGTATTTTGTATCGATGGCAAAACATAAGAAAAGGACATCAACAACCATTTCATAAATGGAAAGGAAGCAGTGAGCAACCAGGAATGCAAAGAGGCAGACAATGATGAGCGGCAGCACCCAGATGGTGTAATCTCGTTGGTAATTCAGCAACATAATCCCAGCCAAACCTGTACTGCAGACTATCAGGACCTGAGGAAGAAAACAGAAGAGAACTCTCATGGCAGAAGCCTTTTGATTTTTATTTTTTTTTTGGTTTGGTTTCATCTTTTAACCTACATGCTTCTTGCTCTGGCAGAGCTAGAACTGGGAGCTACAGATCCCAGTGGTAACGACATCTTTACCTCCTGGATTCCCCATATCCCTGCGTGTAAATGACAAGAGAACAGAGAAGGGGGAAGACAGGTCTTGAGGGGATGGTACGTTTTTCATTTTGCTGGCAGAAACAACTTCAAAACTCATCTTATCTCTGTCCCATCTCCATACAGGGAAAGCAGATCAGAATTCATGCAAGGCGTTTCATGTAACGGTCCCCACAGAACTATACTATATGTGAGACCCTAACAGATATTTCACTGGGTACCAGTTTGGTCTTTGGATATAACAAAAGGACTAAAACAATTGTTGTGGCTGCTCAACATTTTTAATATTTCCAAATCTATTATTATGAACTGCAGCTAAACATGAAATTGTAAAACAGGTCAGCTTTACTGTACTATGAAAACACCAGGTTGCACTGACAGAGGAGACAGGCTGGGAGCCTAGCACTGTTTCAGCTGACAATATTTTTTTTATACTGTACACTGTTCATTTCAACATTTCTGTCACCTGTACATTTCTCTAATAATTTGAAACGCATCTTTTCAAGGAGATGTTTCCTAATATCTTTCAGACACCTCCATAAAACCACATTACATGGAGACCATTTCATGGTCTCCCAGGCACCTATATCTTCATGACGTGTTTATTTCTTCTCACACCTTATTGACTTAATTACTGGATTAAAAGTTCAGCACACTGTACTCTGACTTAATAAAAGCAGAGAAATGTAATAAGGAAGACAGTTCAGTCCAAGCTGGCAATTCCTCACAGCAGGCTCCTACACTACCTTCCAGTCCAATTTTGTTGGTGATCAATAACATGCCAGTATTCAACATAAACCCAAAGAGCCCTTACTAAAAATAATTTAGAGAAAATGCTTCCTTTCATTAAGGTTCAAGGTTTTAACTACAAAAGCAATCAAAAACTCAGAACTTCTAATATTTTTATGGAGTCAAGAGAAAAATGACTAAATTCATGCAATAGGTGTCACCATCTTCAGCTATTCCCTTCTGATCACTTTTACTTAATGTAAGCGAGTCATCTGCTTATCCTCTCTGTCCTGGACAATCCCTTCCTGATATGATGGAGCTGGATGTAATGAAGTGCATTCTAAGACACAAGCAATCTGAAGGCATTTTGTATCTGGGGTGCAAGCCATTGCTAAGGAAAGCTTGTTACTACATAGGTCAGTAATAACTGTATACAGTTATTTACAGTATACATACCTTTCCTAGAAACAGCATAAAATCCCCAACTGTGTTTATGGCAGCCACTCGCAAAGCATTTTCCACTAGAATAACAAAGGCATCCTTTGCTGAGGTGCAGAAGTTGGTGCTGTTGATAGCTGTGGCTGTATATGCGTTCTGGGAAAAGCAGATTCAAAATTTACTCATAGAATGATCAGACATTTCAGGCGCCAGGGTAGGGGGGCGGGGGGGGGGGGGA